TTGTTCTCTTTGTCTTCGCATCACTAAAGCAAAAAAAATAAAAATAAAAATAAAATAAAATAAAATCACAGAACATCTTAGGTTAGAGGGGACATAAAGATCATCTAGTTCCAGCCTCTTCTGCCATGGGTTGCCAGCCACTAGATTGGGCTACCCAGGATCCCATCCAATCTGGCCTGAAATGCCTCCAGATATGGGGCATACACAACTTCTCTGGGCATCCTGTTCCAGTGTTTCACCACTCTCTAAGAAATTTCTTTATAACATCTAACCTAACCTCCTCTCTTTTAGTCATTCTCCCTTGTCACATTACTATAAGACCATGTAAAAAGTCCAGCTTTTCATCCATCAGGATGAAGTTCTTCATGACAGACCTGTTCTCAGTGAGTTCTTCTCCCAGCCTGTATGCACATCTGGCTCAAGATCAATCCCAAGTGTAACACCTTGTATTTGACCTTGTTAAATGTCATTAAGAACTTATGTGCACACTTTAAAGGCCTATCCAGGCCCCTCAGGATGGCAGCCCTTCCATCTATGCTGTGAACTGCACCACCCAGCTAACAGAAAAAGAAGCTAACAGAGGATAAGAGAATTCCTAAATATATATACACATACACAGATCACTTATCAGGAGGATAGATTTTAGCCTGTGTACTTTCAATAGGAAATAAATTTGATTATTTTCTTGCGCTGATCTAATTGAAGTCAAAATTATAGCCCTATAAGAGAATAGATTAGAGTAATCAGGAAATCACTACTATGTTATCCACACTAACTTCCTATCAGGTACATGAACTGAATGCCTTTTGAGTAATTCCAGTCTAATAAAGCAGCACGTGTAGCTGAAGGTTTGCTGTTCCTTTGGTAGGAGATGTGAAACATATAATAAAGTTAGGTTCAGCACTATTTAGCATAGCCACATATTTCACAGTGGCCACATAGATGCCACTTTTATTGATATACTCACCTTGGCATCTAGGTTGGTTAAGAAGAAAGTAAATAATTCAAAGAAGGGAAACTATAAAATTCAAATATTCTAACTTGATTTTTTTGCCTTTGGGTATTTATTTACAGGTTGTGACTACATGCTTACAAGTGTAAAGTCCCTAAAGATAGTCAAGAAGACTGGAGATAAGCATGGTTCTTGGATGAAAGATCCTGGCAAGAAGCACACAAAGATTTATTTATTAAATGGCACTGTGAATAATGTTATTTTTGAATTTGCAAACATCATGACTTTCATGGAAAGCAATCATACACTAAAAGCTCGCAGAGTCATCCTGCCATTTCCCTGGGAAGGGACTGGCCACATTATTTATCAGGGTTTTCTGTTCTATCACAGACACGGCTCTTTAAATGAAATAATTAAATTCAATATCCAGAAAAGAAATATAGTTGACTATATGCTACTGCCAGGGGCTGGAAGAATTCCTGCCTATCAACTTTCTCCATCTACAAAAATAGATCTTGCTATTGATGAGCAAGGGCTCTGGGCAATCCATGCAGAACCAGAGATTGGAGGAAACCTTGTAATTACCAAAATCAACCACATAACCATGTCAGTGGAACACACTTGGGATACAACATGCAGCAGCAAGGATGCTGAAGCAGCTTTCATGGCATGCAACACACTCTATGTGGTGTACAACTTTCCTAGTGGAGGCACCTCTCGCATACAATGTGTATATGATGTTTTGGGTACTGCAAATACATATGAAATACCAGTATTGCATTTTCCAAAACGTCAGGGTAGCCATTCCACTATTCATTATGATCCCAAGGAAAAGCTGCTCCTTGCCTGGGGTGATGGATCCCAGATTATTTATAAGCTTCAAAACCAGAAAAAAGCTTAGAATCTTGACTAACTTTTCAAATACATCTAAAAGCTAACAGTCTCATGTCAGTGTGGAATTAATATAATTTTGATGAACAACAACGACCACATGCTACAGTTTTCATTTCTTTCACATAAATTAATGCTTATACATGCCAGCGATCTTAAGTTAGTGTCCATTTAAAAATATGTATCCATAAATAAGAATTAACTCATGAATTAGTACCATATGAATACATACAAACTAGTCTTAAAGAGCACGGTAAAAATAAAATGGGTGTGTATACATACACACAAACACATCTCTGACATGTTCTACTCCTATTAAAACTATGCTTTCTGCTTCATTGTCATGGAAATCAATTAAGCCCTTCCTATCAAACACAAACTATTTTACTGCCTTCAGTATCTCAGTTCACTGTAAAAAAGAAATCTTTATCAAAAGGACTGTAAAAAAAAAATCACATGGTACTGGAGGAGCTATCTATAGTGATCTAACAGCAAAGATTCATCATTTTGCAAAGCAAAGCACTATACATCCTTGCAAACACATGGCTGATGTTTAACACACAATCTTCCTGCACATCATATCAAGGCTATTTCTAAAAACTGATTTTCTAGCCTATTTCCACAAAAATTTTTTTGTGAAATTTTTTTCAAAATTTTTATTGCCTGCGTAGCTGCCCAGGCCACGTTCGGTCTACCAAACACATTAATTGCAGATAGATATTCTCACTTATCAGCTTCAATTTGCCACTTTGCAACTTTTTTCAGTGTATTACTGTTTATTTGTAGGAGGGAACATTCCCGTATCTGTTCCGAACCACATGCTGTTTAATTGTTTACTTAGCAGTAATTGCTTTCTTTCCACTGTCAGCATCTAGCTCTAAGGTACTTTTTCAATATTCCCAAACATTTCTATTGTTCATAGCTAAGTCTTTCTTTCCTATCCTCTGACTCCAGCAAAATATCCATACAGAAAGTGTGGACAAGATGAGCCCAAGTAGTGCAAGTGAGTGCACATTACTTGCTCCCCTTTGCTAGGAACTCCACAGAAATACAGCTTCATTTGCTTCAAAAAAAACCAAACACAACAATCCAACAAAAAACAAAATACAGACGCTGGAACCTAGGAAAATACAGATTTTGGCTTTAGCATCCGGATTTTAACTGAATGTTTATTACACAAAAAAAGTATTAGAAAAGCAATCCATAGAGAACCCATTTTGTTCTTTACACTGAAAGTGCTGATCTGCTTAAAAGGCGCTTACACAGAACAAAAATCAGGGAATTATTTTGTAAAGGAGTTCCAGAACACAGCTAAAAGCATATGGACTGAGAAATTACAATATTGGTCTGATTTTAGCAAGAGAAAATATCATTCTAAACAGTCTTAATGACTACAGCATTAATTCCATGTTGTAGAGGCCACAAGGAGCAGTTAGAGACAGACTTAGAACAAGGAGGGCTGGATATGATTTGCTGTGTGACCATAGGTGAAAGGCATATTGCATTATTCAGCCTTTTATTCCTCATCTGTGAAGTTACACATGCAAAATAAAGTATTAACCACCCCTGTAATGCTTTGAGATCCTTACTGTAAAAGGATGTGTAATCTTAACAAATAAAGGCTTTTGACATAAATATGAATTAAGCTTGCTCTTTCAGTAAAGGCATTCCTGAAGGTTCTCTCTGTATAACAGTGTGTAGAGTACAGCACACTTCATTATTATTCCATATTCAAGAAGGTTATATCAATCAACAACCCTCAAAAACTCAGGCTAGGCAGTCTCTGAACCTCGCTGCCTGGGAAATCCAAACTCCATAATAAATCCATAGATGGCCTAATTTTGAGAAGAAGTAGGTCCTGCATGGATGAGTGTCGCGAGGTTATTTCACACCACATGAAAAAGAGACTAAAAGCATTGGCACATTTTGAAATTGAGGTTTATTCACAAGGAGCGGCAAAGTTTCAAGACTTCTAACTTGAGAAATATAAGAATGGTAAAATATCTGTAATTTGCAGATGTTAGTAGTGATGTTGATTTGCTGACTGTTTGTGTGCAAACACAAGGAAAGAGAACAGAAGGAAACATCACTGAATAAGTCTGCTTCAACTATTTGTAAGGCCTTTAATAACTTGGACTCTGTGTTCTTCCCAGGGAATTTACTCCAACAATTTGCAAGCAAGCCACTGGATCATTCTTCTTAAAACATAAATTCTGTTCGTTTTTTTCTTGCTATATTTATAATACAACCCCATCCATTTCCTTCACATCTAGAATAAGACCACAAAAGTAGCTTTCTTGACCAGAGAGTTAAACAAACCTATTGCCAATCTCACAGAAGTACCAAAAAAGAGCATAAGAACACTGTGCACTTTTAACTGTGCTTTAACGATTCGTGCCAGATGGACTCTCTCTGTGTCAGTATCACTAAAGATTTCTTTTTTCATGAGTCTGCCCAATTGATTTTTACTTTAAAGGCCTAGTCCTAAACTGCTTTCACTATCACTACCCATTTACCATAACAGAAGATTAGAAGGCAAAGTGTCAGTGTAATTTCCTGTGCACGTATTCAAATTGAAAATGATATTTTCTCATGTAGATAAGATGCTTTTCCCTCTAGGAGTTGCAGAGGTTTACTTTGGCTTTTTGCTTCCACATGTATTTGTCCACAAGCAATTTTAATGTATCTACAAGATGTAAGCAACTTTCCAGTGCCACATCTGCAGTTGGTAGAAGCAACTTGTACAGAAAAGTTGTAGGTTTTTTTTTCTGGTTGTTGGGGTTATTTTGCTTATTTGTATTTTGAATAGGTTAAAAAAAAAACAAAAAAAAAACAAAAAAAACACTGATTTAAACCCTTAACTCTTAGCTTCTTTCCTGAGTTCACATAAGAAGTGGTCATCTGCATTCAGTGATTTCAATTGCAGAGCCAATTGGAACTGCAGTATGCTCAGAACATACATCACTATGCAAAGTGTTAACTCCTAAGAAGGTCTAAAAAGCACTTCAGTAATTTTTTTTAGCATAAGCAATTTATATATTACAACATGGTAGAAAGCATGAGATGGCAGAGCAACAAGATCTTCAACTACAGTAAGCAAGGATCTGCTTAAATGCGATTGCAGTAGGCACAGAAATAAGAGAAAGAAACTGCTTACCTTTAGAAGGCTTGCAAGGTCCTCAGGTATGCAGGGGTCTCCAGATGAGATATCCTCACCTCCACTGCCAGCCCTTCAGTGAGGTCTGAGAAGAGGTGGATGCTGGCTCCATCCCTTCCAGGCATTCAGTGCATTGCTTGCACCTGAGCTGCCCTAGGTTGGCTCTGCCTTCCCACCAGGTGCTCAATCACTGCTTCAGGTGATGACTCCGCATTTTCACTACACGTATTGAATCCACCATTTGGAATTAGTCACTACAGTGAGAAAAAAAGTTTCAAATACCAAAATTAAGTTCTTAAGTTTATAGTGTCATCTTATGTTACATATTTTGAATTTTGTTTTTCTCATGAAATGTACAAAAAACAATGGATTTTTTTTTTGTTTGTATGTTTGCTTTTTTTTCTCCAGGTGTCTTTTTTTGTTGTTTTTGTTTGTTTGTTTTGTTCTGTTTTAAAAATTCTTCAATAGATATAAAGGATGTACGTTTGTTCTACCCAAGTAATTTCAAGTTCATTTAAAATGTTGTATATTGTTACCTATTATTATTGTTGTGTATTATCAACTTGCATATTTCTGTTTTGACGAGCACAAATGCACATACAAACAGGAAAAAAAAAGCAAGAGCACACAGACACACAAAGATAAAACTTTCGATTCATACCTCTACAGGTTTGCATGTGAAATTGAACCTCCCAAGATGGAAGGGACCCCCAAGGATCACTAACGCCAACTCCCAGATCCACGCTGTACAACTGTTCAACTTAAGCTTATCTTACAGTCAGAAAGAAAACATTTTTTCCAACCCACAATCATCCAGCTACTCCTGCAACACAAACCCCTACAGGTTTATCAGATATAGCACCAAAATGCAGGTGGCACAATTAAGCTGTAGCTGATTTCGCAAGCCATAGCTTTAGTGACTCCCTTTAAAAGGGCTATAAGGCAAAGAAGTAGCAGGTTAAACATACCCTATGTAAACCAAACTGTTTGGTGAAGTGTATATGCAGATTAATATGTCTGCTATTATATTTACCTAATGTTACTCACTACATTGAATTCAAGTGTTCTTATTCATAACAATCACATTTACTTTTCATCCTTGTCCATGCCTATGCAGATGAACTTGGTTTTTTTCTCACAAAACAATCAAACACCAGATGGCTGACTGTCCAAGAAAAACAACAAAGAATGTTCATAAACAAGACATGAATACTTTTTGAAAAGGAATGTGCTACATCCACAGGAATAGAATTCTGATAGCTAGTGGTACGCAAGCGAGGAAAGTTCAAAGCTGAATTCATATCCCTGTTCATCCCATTACTTCAGGGAAGCAAATATTTCTTTTCTTTGTGCATGTTTATACAATTGTAATGAATAAAGTCAGCATTTTAGATTCTTGGTGAATCATGAACTAGCCTTTATTACTGAACATTACAATTGTGTTTTTTAAAGGAACCCAAAGGCAAGTCTTATCTGCTGAAAAGCACATAAATATTTGCAGAAAGAAAAACTTGTATGCAGTAACAAAAACTGAATTATTTCCCAGGTTGAACACGTGAGTCACAATTCAGATCTACATACAGAAAGTCACCACCTTAAGCAACAGCAACAAGAATACGTTTATTATTGCACTAGTAAGTGTTTGATACTCAGGTGCTCCTTTCAGATTTCCATTTGAACTTACAGAAATAAAGGCATAGCACAGAAGAAACAGTTTGAATTATTAAGCAGATATAAGCATATTCATCACCTTATGTGTAGCTGCAATCAGTGTGAAATCACAAGATTCAGAAGTCACCTGCAACACAGGTTTCCTCACACAACTTTCAAATGAGATTTGTGTATCTTGCAGAAGCCATCAAGTACATTAGATATGTACCCTAATTAGAGTGAAAACAGTAAGGTGATTTGTTTTGGCCCTACAGAAGAAAGGAAATTTTTCATATGACTGACGTTACCAACCCTCACTAATTCTTCCCAATTTATATAAGATATGCTATCAAGTCTGAAGTCTAGTTTCTTAACAACTAGTTTTGAAGTTTATGGGTAATATAAATAAAATTTAAGTGTTTGTAGTCAGGTTTTTTTTACTATATGTTCAGTTTCCTATAGCAGTTAATTTAAACATAAAAACTTAACATATATTTCCTTTTATTTCCAAAAAGCTAGTCATGGTGACCAAGATGTAGACACTTATCAGTAAGGCCTACTGTTTGAAGACAGAACAAACACACTAAAGACATTAGCTTTAAAAAAAAAAAAAATATGAACTGCTGAAATTCTGCAGTGCAATAGAGAGAAAAATATACATTTCATGTGCGAGCTTCAATTTCAGAAAACCAGCAAGTGAGGATTGGCTCACTTTTGATTGCACTGTATCAAATACAACAGTCAGGGACACAAATAAGGGACAGAAGCCACTAGCATTCAGAAGACCTCATGTACACAGAGATCTGAAGCAAGATACCCTCACCTCCACTGCCAACACTTAAGGGAGGTCTGGGAAGAGGTGGATCCTGGCTCCAGCCCTTCCAGTCTCTCAAACGCACTGCATGCAGCTCAGCTCTCCTGGAGTGGCCCTGCCTTCCCACCAGGTGCTCAATCACAGGTTCAGGCCATGACTTAGCATTTCCACTACGACAGGAAATGTACATTTTGTATGGTACAGGTGACAAGCCCCCAAGGAATCTGAAAATCTAGGATTTCCTTTTAAATATCAGTCACGGCTAATCACTAAAAACTTCCAAGCTACTCATGCTAAGGCACACACTTGCAGGTTATCAACTACTGGATCCAAGGCAACGATTATAACTAGAGACCTACTACCTTTCTGTTGGAGATCAGATGTAGACTTGTTGGAGTTCTCCTGTGGTAGATTTTAGTAACTGCTGGCAGGCTGAACTTTAAAATAATTTTAAGACATGTATCAGCCAAAGACTTCATTATACCTGACTGACATATTGCCTGATCTTTCTAAAATTTCCATAGAAAGTACTGTTTCTTTACTCTGTGGAGACATATTTTAGCAAACATCAGAAAATACGAACAAAAGAAAGCTGAACAGTAAACAATCTGAGAGCTCAGGCATGTGACTGAGTTACTGCACCTCAGCTGAGTCACACTAACTGACCTTGCCTGCTCTTGCAAAACCAGAGGTCAGGTGAAAGCTTAAAAGCTAATCTTTACTGCCTGGGAGCTGCAACAAGATTCACATTGTGGTTTGCTTTTGTAGCTAAGTAAAAGATATTTTGCTATACCAGACTAAATGAATTGTGATACCAAATGAAATATACTGTAGGTGTTTGAGGATTTTCTCTAAAACAAAGAGGAAGTGATAGCTTCTGCATCTGTATGATAGTGAGATAAAGAACTGCACGGTCACAACCATCAAAGTCAGAAGTGATCAAGAGTGCTGTCTGGAAAAAGAATAAAGACAGACCCTCACCTTCCACAGCAAAATATGTGGGTAAGACAAACTTGGAATTATCCTGTTGTTATGGGCTCTCCTATGTTTGAAGCTAGAGGATTAAAGAAGAAAACTTTTAAATAGTCACAGAAGATATATCTTACTTGACTCAAGCCTAAATGCTAGCTGGAAACATTTGCCAGTGCTTAATAGAACTGTGGATATTAGTGCTAAAGAAACCACTTAACAATGTTTTGATATTGAAATTACCTTCTAGCATGTATTCTTTTTCCACCATGCAAAAAAATTCAAACAAATCTGAACAAACACCAAATTGCACAGCACTGAGAGTTCAGTTTGACTAAGTGAGTCCCATGACTCCAAATGGCCTCAGTATATAGGAAATGGAATAACAGTTTATGTGGTAACGTAGTCTCTATGTGTGAGCTCAGAGTAGCTCACAGTAAAAGTTTCATTTTCCAATCTATATTAAGAGGGCCTCTGCCTGATGGTGAGAATGAACTTGGAGGCAGATGTTTTGAACAGCCGTGCCTGCCTGAAAAAGCTGCACCTGCCCTCCACTGAGCACATTTCACGTACTACGGTAGGATTGCCAACCCTTAAATAGCTACAAAACATACAGACTGAGCCATTACCTGGCAGCCAAGATTTGTTCGTTCTGAGCACTCTCTCGAGATCGTTCATACCTCTTCTAAAAGATGAACGCTAGGTGGAGCTGGGCCTTGTAGCGCTACTGGCAAAACTTAGGTAGTTACAGCTGTCTGACAGAAAAACCCAACTAATTAAATTCTAGCGGCCAGATCAATGGCTCTTTTAAATGTGTTTTAAAATGCTGAATGAAAGTAATGGTACATTTCTAGAAGCATTTCATGAACTGCTCATTTAAAATTTTTGGAGTATAAACAGAAGACTGGAAAAAAAAATCTTTAGTATTCTCTAGGAAAACTATATGCAAAGCAATCAAAATTAATGTATTTCATCTGCCCTAACACAAGATAATTGAAAAGATGATGGTGTTCTAAATAGAGGGGAAAAAATAGTAAGTTTGGTGTTATACAAATATCTCTACTTGTCCAGTAAGATTTCAAGATTAATTTTATGCAGAGACAAACTATTTTTATTTAAACTCTGATCTAAAATATTTCACCTTAAGTCTACTAAATAATGCCAGGAAAACAGAAGAAAAAAAAAAAAAAAAAGGCAACAAATCTTACTCATTTTCAATGGACATATGTTTAAAAACATTTCAAAGAGTGCAAGAATGCTTTCCACTTGTGCAGAGAAAATTGGTAACATACCTGGCAACAAATCTCTCTTAAAGATAAGGCAGGGTAAGTTTTCTAATGAAACATTATGGATTAGCTGTATGGAGTCAGTGGAGAAGGATAGTCTACTCCATGATTTCCAGTCTACAGCTTATTTGACCAAATTTACATGGAAGGAAACCTCTGAGTATTTAAAAAACTGGTTCTGTTTTCAGAGACAAGAAGTTACGTAGCTTCCAGTCCTGCATCTTGATATTTATGCTTTATGTTTTAATGTTGATGTTTCATATAAAACACAGCCTGTGAATGACTGCTGTGATTTAGGGAAAGAACTGAAATTACATTGTGGCTAACCTTTATTTTAATTATCTTCTGGAAAGAAAAGAAAAAAAAAAAAACTACATAAAGAAGGACATCTCTTGTAAGTACTCTTAAGTAAGTTGGACTGCAGTGCCATGGCAATTATATCTTGGTGAGACAAATTGTTAAAGAGCAACACCTGGGAGCTGACAGATATCTCTCCACTGATTTCAAACATGGAAGAAATGAAAACAGTCCTTAAAGCACTATCCAGCAGTGTTCTCTTCTGGGTTCCCTGCTTGTTTTTTTCATAGATCTTTTTTATGAGGATGATTCTGCTCTCCCTGAATAAGCTTCATTGTTAAATATGAGATGCAAAGACTTGACACAGTGCTAGCTTTGTGACAGTAATATGTCTGCACTACTGCAGAAAGAAACCACTCTTACTGAAGAAGGGACTTATGGAATGGTAATTAGCCTGGTAATAGGCCAGGACAGCTGAAGTAGAGCCTCTGCAAACTGCTACAGTGAGGGAGAGACATAGAATTAACCCACTTCTGTGAAAATGGCATTCAACACAACTTAGTATAGACAGGAACAACACACTAAAGTTAGCCCAAAATTTGGATTCTCTCCAATGGTATGTTGTGTAAGTGTGAGCAAACCATGCATCATAGATAATGATGTAAAATGATAACAAGTGAATTCTGCAGCAATGGCAGGATGCCATTTTGCATTTTGCACTTTGTGCCACTCAAATTCTGTGCTTCTACCCTTCACTGCAACCCAAGTGAGCAGCAGTAATTGCGCAGCCTCTGTTCCAAGTCCTGTCCCTTCACAAAACTCAGGTTGGGCCATGCCCTGGGGACGTGCCAGCAGGGCCTCAACAATTCCAGCTCAGCTGTGAACAAGAGAGGAGGTAACAAAGCTACATAGCTGTAAAGGGGTATGTGAGTTCCCAGATGGTGCTTTCATCATGTGGAAAGTCACCTGGGCACATCCCTAACTAGTCAGCAAGGCTAACTGGGGAAAAGAAGAAAAAATGGTGTTGAAAAAATTTCTGGGCTTTGCCCAGGAGGATCCAAACTCCACTGACAGTGAAACAATACTGCAACAAGCAGTGCTATAGTAATAGTTTTTGCTATCCACATTGTGAAAGATATGTGCTATCAAACATTATAAAGCTGACCACACCTCCATATGACCTATTTAATATGATTACCTCAAAACTGAGAGGTAGACAAAGAAAAATTCAAAAGCAAGCCAAACCCAGCCTCTGGATTCTTGCCAATTTTAATTATTCTTTAGCATGTTCAGAGATGTTTGAAAAGGATTTCTGCCTCCCATTTTCTCTCTTCCCCACTTTTGGGCACGTTTGCTTTGACACTGAGATCCAATTCTTTACTAGGAAAATCTTTTCCATGACTCAAAGTCTCAACATTATGCATAAGCTTAAAGAAAATACTGAAATTGTATGCAGCTATTCACAGGGCCCAGGGGAAAATGGGAAGAGGTTGTGGGATTTTTCTCTGGAGATACTGAAGACCTATCTGAATGCTTTCCTATGAAACCTAGCATAGAGAGGCTGGTTTGGTACAGGGACTGACTAGGCCATGTCTTCCTATGCCTACAGTGCTGTGATTGTGTGTAAATGTTTCTACATAAAATTGGGTATAATCTACAGTTGGGTATTATCTACAATAAAATTGGGTACAATCATTGGAAGTAACGTAATCACATTAAAGCATCAGGTGTGTTAAATAAGCTTAGGCTATCTAGCTGGAAGTGAACAGTATCACAGAGGTAAGGCTGCAAGAGGCCTGCTGAAATGGAAATGCTCCACAAAGAGCAAAAGGTGTGCGTTTTAATTATAAGCACGCGAAACTCTTTGCTTTCTGCTAAACGCTTACCATTGCCCGGTCGGCTCCTCGTAAAGCCGGTGTAAGCAGAGGTGCCCGGCAAACGCGCGCCGTGACAGAGCCGTGTAAGCGCCTCAACCTGTCTGGGCGGGAACATGACCGGAAAAGTTATCGCGGTACCGCTCCTCGTGCTCGTGAAGGGAGCGGGGCGCGAGCTCCAGCTGCGCGACCGCGCAGGTCGGTCCCGCGGGCGGGCACTGCTTGATGGGCGGGCTGCAGCTGCGGGCGCTGCCGGCGTGGGCTCGGTGGTGAGGCGGCGGCTGGAGGTAAGTCAGCGGGGCGGGGGCTGCCGGCTCTTTCTGGGGCGGTTCGGCTGGTTTTTATCAGGAAATATTCCGGGAGCGCTGCCGCGGATGGGGCTGCAGTGCTTGCCGCTTCTCCTTTGAAGTGTGTTCTTAACGGTGTTAAGAGTTAAGGGCTCCGTGCTGTTCGAAAAGGTTTTTAAATAGATGCGGTTTTGAGGTCCTGCGGTGTTTATTCTCGCAGGGAGAGAAGTTTTGAAACTAGAGCTGCAGCGGCGGTTCAATAAATAAACTGTTGCGCTGACATGGAGCTTGGAAACGCTGTCGGTGGTGACAGGCGGGCGCAGCCGCGGCCCCGAGCGAAAAGCCGCCTCGGGAGGGGGGGCCGCTGTGAAGGAGCAGCTGGGAGACGGGACTGGCGGTGTGCTGGAGAATGGAGGGCAGTGCGTGGGATGACAAGTGATCCCCGTCCGAGGGCTCACCGCTCGTGCTGTCACGCTGATAAGATGAAAGCATCTCCCTTTCTGCACCTGTGAGGGTGATAAGTGACCGTATGCTTTTAGGTGCCAACTTGCGTTTGGTGTTGTGTGGAGCGGTGTGAGATGTTCAAGTGGCAGCCTGGTGGATCTGACCGCCTGCGGGTGGAGTGCAGCGTGTGCTCCGGGCGATTTGCACGCACAACACATGGTATTTCCGTAGTCTTTGTGATGATTTTCAATTGCAGGGGTTCGATAGGAGAGGGAACAGTGGGGGGTGTTTTTCTGCCTGACTTTTCTGTTCTTTTTTAAACAGGGAGTAGCAATATGTGAGCAGGTGCATGAAGAGCTTTGTTCTGAAACTCGTATGGAAATCTGGAGGGAGTAGATTGGGGAAGTGAAGAAGGCTGAATCTCAGCCTTCCGGATATACTGATATGCTTTGCTTGTGTTCCTGACTTGGACTTGGATCTGCTCTGCAAGCTTCATTGCATTTTCCTAATGGAGAAATGCTTGAAGGAGAACCTATAATAGCAGAAGAGGGAAAGGTCAAATAAGGATAAACCTGAACAAGCTTGGACATATGAATATGGGAGAGAGAAAAATGATGTCAAGGCCCCAAAATGAGACTTTAGCTGAACTCAAGATTAATCTTGGCATAAATAGCTAATGTTTGTATCTGTTGTTGACATACATGATGTGCCTATAACTCTTACACTAGCAATAGCATCCCTTCCCAAATCTTAAATGCTTCATTTGTCATGCCAGGTAATAATCTAGAGGCTTGACAAAATAGCATTTATCTGTGATACATCTAGGACTCTGCCCTATGGGAAACATCAAATTAAAAGGAGGGGGCAGGAACTGATTAATCTCATTAGTCTCCTGTTTGGCTGAAGCATGGTAGGAATTGGGCTGGGAGCATTGTTCCCTTTAAGCTTTTATCTTCTACCTCAGAAAGGAATTGAAGGAATGATTGCAGAGGACGTTGCTGCTGCCATCTTTGTCACTCCAGCTACCTTATCTGTATTAGGATTATGCTGGATGCAAGGACATCAAGGATGCAGGAAAGGCATAAGTAGAGCATCCTGGGTTCTTGAATCAATTCTTCTCCAGTCTGTAGTTTGAGAGAGATCCAAAGCAGGGTGAAAGAGTGGCTTTTTTCTACCCTTTCCCCTATCACGTTCTGTTCCACTGAGTGTCTGCTGCTCTAGATCATCTGTGCAGGATCTAAGGCATGACAGCGCGTCTCACTGTGGTGAAGTGTGTATGAGTGGAAGATGTACAGAGAACAGGTGGAAGAGAGTAAGTGAAAGCTTTGATAACAAAGGAGGAAAGCAGAGGAGATGATGTTGTGAGTGCAAAAGTGGGGGGGGGGAAAACCCTCAAGGAGCTGATCTACTCTATTTTTTAATTTTTGTTTTTACTTTTTTACTTCTTGCAGCTTTGCTTTAGCTCTCATTTGTTGCTTATTTCCAGTTTGCTTTGTTTCCCAGCCCTCTCTTTTTAACAAGACAAAACAACAGAACCTTAAAGCCCTCATCCCTAGATACTGTTCTCACTCTTATTAGACTATTCATAAACTTAGTTCACTTCACTAAAGATAGGGAGGAAAAATGTTTTGAATTGTCTTTCATCTCAAACAAATGAGGGCCTTGACCTGGAAAGATTAGGAAAACTAATGGCTTGCATAGGTAATGTAGAGCCTCTGTGTGGCTTTAGATGTCTGTAGTATGCTTCAGAGGATTTACTGCTTATCAAAGCAGAGAAATTATGCAGAAGGAAATACGTTCTGTGATAATGATCACTCAGTATAGACACAAACATTATAATTCAACAAGCTATCCCAGGCAAGTCTTTTCTGAACTTTCCAGAACTAACTACTAGTGTAGGAATAGTAATGTAAAAAAACACAACATAGGGTAGTAGAGAAGAATTTTAAAAATTGCTTGTATATTAGTGAGATTTCATTGTGCAAATCTGTGGAGATGTTTATAATCTCTATTTCCTCCCTTACACTCAGAGTTCAGTAAACTTCTTATGATATAATCTTCAAATTCTCACTCTCAAGCTCCCAGATAAAGTTTAGCCAGCGATGCTGGCCTTGGAGGTACCAGTTACCGTGATCAGTTACCACACTTCAGTAGATGGATAAGAAGTCAGAGAACCTTTTGAGTTAGAAGGAACCCTTAAAGGCCATCTAGTCCAGCTCCCTGCAATGAACAAAGACATCCACAGCTAGATCAGGTGCTCAGAGCCCTGTCCATGCTGACCTTGAACATCTCTGAAGACGGGGCTTTCACCACATCTCTGAGCAACCTGTCCCAGTGCCTTGCCACCCTTATCATAAAAAAAAAACAACAAACCAAAAAACTTATCTAAATCTCCCCTCTTTTAGTTTGAAGCCATTTCCACCTGTCCTGTCACAACAGATCCTGATAAAGAGTCTGTCCCCTTCCTTCATATTGTCTCCCTTTAGATATTGAAAGGCTGCTCTCATGTCTCCCCGGAGCCTTGTCTTCTGCAGGCTGAACAGCCCCAGTTCTCTCTGCTTGTCCTCGCAGGGGAGGTGTTCCATCCCTTGGATCATTTTTGTGGCCCTCCTCTGGACTCACCCGCTCTGAGGTGATGAGATGCATCTGATAAACTGTGATGGCTTGAATTCTTTCCTGACAGCCTTTCATGCAGCACGTTTCTTATTTCTTTTGATTTTAAATGGATGCACACTGAAGAAACAATATAAGAGTACTTTCATAGCTCGATGCCTCTGCCTGTATTTTTTAACACAATGTTTTTATTACAAGTCTTTTGTGACCTTGTAACACTATAATTACTTGGTTTTTATCGCTCTATCTCATGGGACTTATTTACTATAATCCCAAGGTGCTACTTCCCAACAGCACTTTGCTCTTATTTGGCAATCCACTGATGTAGAGAACAAAGAAGTTAAATAAAAAAGGTAATTCTTTTCTGAAAGAAAAGTTAATCTTAACAGCACTGTTATCAGTGTAGTTCAGTTTGTGGATTTTGTTTATACTGCGTGTCTGCCAAGTTACAGTGTAGTTTTTTAAAGGACTTTAACAACAACCTGGATTTTAAAATTCACTTTGATCATCTGTAAAGCAAGATTGTTATGGGTATTGTGTAGCTTATTAGTATTTCTGGAAGACCTATGAGCTAAAGATGCTGAGGAGAAAGAGCTGTGTGTTTTCATACTGATTAAAGAAGAAAAATCTCCCATAGATATCTTCACATACATAAGACAGTCCTAACATGTAGTTTTCCTATTAAGCTTCCTGCATATACATATGTATATATACGTAAAATCCACAATGATCTCTTTAGAATATACCTTTCAGCATTCTCTTTCAAAAAGAGAAAAAGAATATTATTCTAATTTTTCACAAAGAATTAATTCATAAGGCCCCAGTTCTTTTTCACTTTGAAGTTAGCTTTCTTGCTGAAATTGTGAGGCAGCTTATTTACTAAGTAGTTCCTTATGTGTACTGAACTGAGAGTAGTTTCCTGCCTTTATAGTTGTAACATATTCTGAATGAAACTCATCAGGGAAGAGATTCAATTTCTAGGAGTCACTGTCAAAAGTTCCAAGTAGTAACTGATTAAATATAAAATTATTCTGACACTTTGTATATTTTGTTTTCTTTCGTTATTTGTTTCTTAAGGGTTTGTTTGTTTTCTCCTTCTGCCAATGAAGCAGAGTGCATTCTGTACAGGACCAGTAACACACTTCTATACAGAGAATTGGAAAGTGCGCAGTCTTATACTTACATTTCAAAGTAAAGAGATAATGAAGATGCTCTTCAAAATTAGTCTTATGTGTTTTGCCCAGACCATTAAAGTGGACAGTAAAAATTTGATTTTCTGCTGAATGATCTACAAGATAACGGGGAGCCATTAGTATATAAAATATATTCTTGTTTTGTATTATATCCACATGAAATGTATGCTGTTTTACTGAAATATCCAGCTGAAATGTGACGTGAGGATCAAAGTTGAGGGCTGAATAATGCTGAAAATGCAGCTTTTCCTAGTTTAGAGAGAAGAAATAACATGAAACCAAATGGTGACAAGACAGCATGTGGTGGACGTCATGCTTGAACTGGAAAATAATGGATGTGAATGCTGGAGATGTAAAATGACAGAAGTGTGAACTATTAATTGTAAGAGAAATCTTTACGTATTACCAAAAGATGTAGTGGTAAGTTGGTGAAGTCCTGAAGCAGACGTGAATTTGGAGAAAACAGATCAGCAGGCCTGGGTTTCCTTCAACAAAATCTAGAACTAGACTTGTGTAGAGCAAATGCTAAGTCAC